CGAAAACTAGCACCGTCAGCGAAAGCAAACAGAAGATGGGCGACTCGACGAAGTCAACTTATGTAAGGAGCGATCGCGGGCACACGCTTTCGAGATGGGTCGATTCCTTCATTCTTTCGCATGGCCTCCGAACGGGATCAGGTCGATAACACTACAAAACCTTCGCTTCGATTTTTGTCGAAGGAAAGACGCACGAGCGAGAAAAGAACGAGAATTCCAACGATGGAGACGACTGATCCCACGGAATGCCGTTCCAGGAGTCACTCCCCAGATTGAGAAATAAATCTTTGCGGAGTCCGGTGCCAGCATGGGACTAACTGGCGCTTGATGGTGTTTGTGCACTCCCCTAATCGAGTGAAGAGGTCGAGTCGATGAGCTTGAAGTATATTTTGTTGATTCAAGAAAGTCAATTGCCTTGGCCTGGTTGCGAGCGGATCCGATAAGTGTCGCTCGCTCAGCCGCTCGACTTTGAAAAGCTTCTCACATCGACTTTGCTTAAGCTTTCGACAATGGACCGTGTGGCCATAGAGCTCACAACACAGTGACAGGTTGCGGATTTCGCTCGCCGATAGTTTAGCCGCCGATAGAAGCGCTGGAGTTTGCACATAAATTGAGGATTATCCATCGCGCTCTCTCTTCACTCACAACACTGACAGAGAGATCTCTACCAGAAGCACCGGAGAACCAGGAGCAACGGCGGCAGATGTGTAATGGCGGCGACCAGATTTCATGTGTTCGTAGCCGTTCTGTTGCGGCACAATTTCAGAGTCTGCAGTGTCTCGCTCTCCTGGTCACTCCGCGGCGGGGTTTTGACGAGATTATTTCAAAACCCTTCTCTCGTCATGCTGAAATCTCTCTCTCGTTCCCCCGTTGAAAACCGAGCAGCGGAATCTCCGCGAGCTGCGAACGGGAGTCGCGGCGACCGACGCCGCGCTGCAACCTTTCGAGTGGAGAGCTGACCGCGTGTTATCTGACTGTCACGTGACTGGCGCCAACTCGCCTAAACCATTCGAATTTGTAGTTGATATTGTTTGAAATATAGCTTCACAGATACCGTGGAAGCGCTCTCCCCTGTTGGCCTTCCCCGGGACTCCTCGTCGGCGGGCATCGTTTCGCCGGTCTGCTCGCAGTGTAACCCCTAAATTGCCGAGCTTGTGTTTTTCCTAGTCACCGAAAGCCATGAACTCAGGTCCCCGGAGTCCTTCCATAGGGGGAGGGAGAAGGGTACGAGGTGAGATAGATTTTGATCGCGCGCTCGTGGTCGCATGTATCCTTATCTGATCAGAAACTTTAGAGAGTTCTCAGGCAATTTAACTCTTTCACTTCGTAAGTGAGGCGGAGGCGCTTTTTAGTCCCAAACATTTCTAGGGAGCGAGTCATTGAAGGGGACACTGAGTCGAGATTGTAGAAATGATTTATGTCTCGTGTAAGATAGAGCGAAGTCATAACATTCCCATGCACGGTCTCATCTAAAAAAGTGCACGGAACCTCCAGATTGAAAAATGTTGGAATTGCGAGACGCCGAGATCGCTCTCTGCTTCTTTCCCTTTCGCAGAGTGTTGGTCGCGCATCATCGAGAACTGCTCGTGACCACAAAAGCGTTTCAGCTCTCTTACTGATCGCTCCGAATTCCATCGATCCGGCGCCGCTGCCCCCGTCCTGAAATGGTCCGGGAGTGAATGCCTCAATCTGCTATTAACCTCGCAGACTTGTCGCGAGACATATATTCCCGAGCTCAAACTTCGATGTTTGAAGAAACTGCCGATAAGGACCCCGCCCTGTCAGAGCGGTTTGGCCAGAGGTGCGCCGACCTGCGGGCTGAGCCGTGGGCCGAGCTCCAGCGGTGGAAGCCACAGCCAGTTTGATTCTCTCTGATTTATGGCTTGAAATTGTCCACTCTAAACACAATAAATTGAGACGCCCCATACAAACGGTCCTGGCAAGCAGCAGAGAGAAAGACTCGACCGACCAGTGCCGACGAGAAGCTGAAAGCGGAGAGTTTGTTGCAAAATTTATCGCAAACCAATATAGCCTCAGGGAGTTCCGGATATTTCAGGACGTACACTACACATAAGTCACGCTAGGTTTGACCACTTGGCTGACTTTTTTTTCACTGAAAAAATAAGAGCAGGAAAGAAAACAGGGGGACATCGCACGAGCCAGGTGTTTGAGCTGCTCTCATATGAAAATCACGGATTCAACTCGGCGCCGATGGAAGCGAACCCGTAGTTCCGCAGAGTTTCCGGAATTTTTGGTTCCCCGACTCCGGAACTCCCGAGTTTCGTGCTCGGGGAGACTTCCAGACTCCTTGTCTTCTCAGTCTTATTACGACGCGAAAATGATTCTAGCGAAAGGCGAGGATGGGGGTTGATACATAGAATGGATGAAGGCGCAAAATCCTAGCCCAATCAGGAGGCGCGTCCCGTTCCACGAGCGCACGACGACGTTAAACACGTGCTAGGATCCTGAGAGAAATGCGCCGAGCTCTTTCTGAGTCCAGTCTTGCGACTCGCCGGAAGCGCGAGGAGTTGAGCTTGCCCGAAGTCTCGCCCCACGCCCACCCTACCCAACACATGCGCTGCCACCGTGGCCGCACAGGCCACGTGGGGAGCGGGGAAAGCGCCAGTGAGAGCACCGAACAACGGAAGAAGAGCAAGACGATCGCGAGCAAAAAAATACAATTTCCTGTTTTTTGAGTTAGTTTCCGACCGTCCTCCAGCGGGATGTCAACGTCTCAGCGGCACGACTAGCGTCCGCTGTTGTGCAGCAACAGACATCCAGACAGTTCATGCGGGGAAGGGGAAGGGGGTTGCCGCCAACTAAAGATGGAAAACTCTCACCCGAAGGAAAGCGACCGCACCATCAAATATGTCCCGAGAGGAAGGAACGGCGAGCGCATGAATCGTTTCTAGTGTCACGTACTTGTCAAGGAAGGTCTATTGGTCAAGGGACGTCGGATAAACCCCGTACTTCGTCGGGTTCCGTCAGGTGAACGCGCCGCAGCTCCAACCCCTGATATCCCACCTTGGCTTTCGAGAAATTGATACCTGATGTTTCCTCGAGAGAGCTCGACTGCACCTCGTCGTTTCATCTCCGAAATTCTAATATCTGAATACTCCCAGATTATGGGGATCCGAATGAAATTCTATCTGAGATGGTGTTGCTCGCCCCTGCTTTCAAATCATTCGGATGGTGGGCAGCGGCAGCGCCATAAACACTAACTCAACTCTTCCTGATCACTGTACAGGGTGAGTCGGCCGCACAGCTTATGGTCGGTCAGCCCTACAACTGCGGTTTATGGGCAGTCGGGCTGTGAACACAGAGTAAATGTTCACCAATCTGCGTTCCCATATGACGCTGCGAGTCGTTGACGTTCCTCGATTCACGATTGACCCCGTAGCAATCCTCAAATTTGTTAGAACCGTCACGGTTTCCGCGATCCAACGAATAAGTACGAGAGAAGGTGTGCGGTTGGATATATCTTCCCGACAATCATCACTCTCAACCTTGTGAACCGTACGTCCGATATTCGATCCGCTCTCGAACGGACTTTCAGACCTCAATGCGCTATCGCTTTCGTCCCGGACATTCGCTCGGTCAGGGATCAGAGAGCAGACGATTCCCATTACACTTCATCCTCCGGGATGACGAAACATATGTTCACGTCGTTGCTGTGAATATCTCGCTCTCTCCGACCTTGTTATCCGCGTCGATGTTGTTCTTGAGAGCCAGTGTATCACATAAGCAGCGGGAACGAGCGACGCCATGGCAACATTTTTTTACTAGTTGTCTTCTACCCCAGCAAGGGTCGTCATAGGGCCGCTCACTTAATCAGCTGGCTGACTGGCCGGTTAGTCAAGTCGAAGCACCAGAGCCAGTCTCTGCAGAGGAGAGCTTCAAAAGGCTGTCAGCGAGATAGAGAGGGAGCGAGCGAATAGAGGAAGCTAAGAGAATCCTTACTCTCCTCTTCGCACCAGCAGTTGCAGTCTCCACAGCAGCAGCAGCAGCACAACCAACTAAGGCCAAGTCCCTCCTCTCGTCGAATAAGGACTCCGCCCCGCTAGGCCGAGTGCTCTCAAGTTAGGCGGGGCTCTGAGCGCTCTCGACCAATAGCGATGTCGTTTCGTCGTGTTCGTACCTGTTTGGCTCTTTTTCATCTCTCCAGCTCAAGAGGCTTTTTGACTTTTCGAGTACGTTGCTTGCTGCTGCAGCTCTGGTCGCTCGTTCGTTCGTTCGGTCGGTCGCCCGCAGCTGCTTGTTTGAGTCGCGCGCTACCTATTCGAAAACAAGTGCGTTCACGTACTCAGCTCAAAGTCAGTCGGAGAGTCTCTCGTTTACCCACTCGGCGGGTCAGTCAGTCAGTCACTCATCCACTCACTTCGACGTTCGACCCGAGACCAGCCGGACCTCTGGAAACCCGCAGGGTCTCCATCAGTAAGTAAAGCATTGTGCGGCGATCAGCTGGTTCATCACATCGAGTATTCGTTTCTTCCGGTTGTTTTCTGAAGAAACGTGTATCCAGTTTTCGAGGATTCTCTGAGTAAGCCTCGATCAGAACCCCCTTCAACAAGTCTCCGTGTTTGGTGACGCGTCCCCGTGAATAGTTGTCAACGCACCATCTGCCGCATTCGTGCGTCGAGCCGCGGTTCCAACTCTTCTTCGCCTGCGGAAAGTGTCGTCATGGAATCAGAGATGCTGTAGTGAGTATCCAGACCCAGGTTCCTGACCCAAGAGAGAATCCAAACCTTGGGATCTCTCCTGTTGCTCCCTGGTTCACCCTGAGTAACTGAGCGCGAGCCGGTGATATTGAGTACGATTCCCGACGAGGATTCTTCCTTGAGCTATCATGCGTCCGAGTACCGAGTAGAAGCGCTGTTCCGTCGGGAAACGTGAAACGCTCATCGTTCATACAGACGAGCGTGCTAGAAGGTACTACGTTGGAGCAACGTCGCACTGAATTCCCCGCCTGGAAACCGTTGATGAGAGCCAAGGAAAACAACATGTTGCCGATATCCCTCCAAAATATTGCGTACGTGTCAGCTCTGCGACGAGCTCTTCAGGCTGCGTGGGAAGAGCAGCAGAGACTCCTAGCCGTTGCGATGGCCAACAGTGAAAGAGCCGATGAGGAGAAAATGGAATCGACCGACGATAAACCGAAGAAGTCAAGTTTCTCTGTGAAGGACATTCTGGATCTTCCCACTGAGAATCCGACTGCCAACGGGCAAGAGGAGAAAATCTCCTCCTCGCATGAATGCGACGACGAAGACGAACCCGACAGCAACAGGAACAACAAACAGCTGGTCAAAGCTGAGTTAGTGGAGAATAATAAGGAGCCGAAGAAGAGCGATCCGATCTCGCCCCAGAGCGGGAGTACGTCCCCCCAACGACAGAGCCCACAGGATCTCAAGAACGGAGCCGCCGTCTTCAACGGAACTATATCCCCAGCAGAGTTCCCGCATCCGATCGAACTACGCAGATTCGGTGAGTTGCCCTACCGGAACAGATAACACTAGGTAGCACCGGACCTTTCTCCGGCATACCAATGGAGTCGGGGTCTGCCCAGGTTTCGTACAAGAAGGAATGGGTCGGCTTACTATCAGCCGGGACTCCCTTGCCTCGTTCGGCGGCAGGACGATTTACGAAACGAATGAAGGGAAAATACCCACGAGTGAGCAGTAGTACTTATGAAAGAGTGAGTTTATATCTAAGTTGAAAAACAGGCCAGCTAACGTGAACGATGGATGGAGGAAGGAAGGGAGCGAGATGGGGAATAGAGAATTTTTCTCGTCACCTGTGGAGAAAAGCCATTATGAAGTGGGAGCGAGTTTCGCCTCGTCGTCTTTTATTAAGTCTTTCGGCAGTTTCTCTCGGCTCTTTACTCACTTACTTATATAGTTGCTCGCTCTGACTGTAGCGGGCGCCGGGTCGGCTCAACTGGCTGGTCGTTCCCGTGCCCATGGGAACAATCAAGCAAGTATTTGAGCTCACCGCAGGAGTCTCATCCGATCCCGGCTCGTGAGCTTTGCTCCGAATGAGACAATTGGAGCCAGAGCGAGATTTCCTCGCTCGCCCTTTCTCGCCTGCTTCTTTGTCGTTCTTATTATCCCCGATGCACTGACCCGCTCTGAGGAGATCAAATGGCTATCTATCTCTCTCACCAGGATCGCAACTCGTGTTGCTTGATTCTACGCGGCGGGGAGGGGATGCCCACCGCCTGAATCCTTCGCGCCGGTCTGTCATTCACCGACGTATAGGTTGCCGTGACTGATCTCTGCCGGAGTTGGGCAAGATATCTTGGTGCCGTTATTCGCCGTCGGTAGTCAGTGGTCAGCCCCTTGATCTCATCCGACGCAGAGGCCAGAAATCGAGACGCTGAACTCAGGAGTCCCGCCCGTCGCGTCAATGAGCGAATCGACCCATTGTCCGCCAATCGATCGCACCGAATCGGAAAGCACAGTAAAGCAAAAATAAACTGTCTCACACGGAGTGATCTGAGGCTGCTGATGGATTTCGCCTCCGCTTTGGAGCGGCGTGATTCCTTCGATTGTGAGTATCGAAGGTATCCGTCCCACCGGAAATGTTCTGCTTTTGTTGTCCACCGAGCGAAGGGTCGAAGCTGCGGGAGCGTATGCGCTGCGCGAGGCTTTAGTGTCCATGCCGTTGGGACCCAGGACTCGCGTACTTGTTGCGAGTTCCGAGCACCGGAACAATAATAGCTCGATGATCTTGATTCCGATTTCCAAGTGAGATGTGCACAGTCTTTGATATACTGCTCTCAGGCTGTCGAGCTCGCGGATCTGAGACACTCTCTGATTTGCTCGAGTCGACTACCGACCCTTCCCTCACCAGATAGCAGAGTTGTCGAAGACTGATGAATTCGTGAAATAAATTCGAAAAAAAAATCTCGTACCGGTAGACTCCGTTCTCTTGTTCCCACTGTCGAGTTCGGTATTCCCGAGGGTTGAATCGCGATGCGGTCGGGACCCTGGCTCAGATCGGGTTTCTTGTTCGATAGCGACGCGTGTGCGATTCGGGAGAGCGTTATCTGAGATTGTCTGACTTTGAATTAAGCCACAGCAGACAACTTAATACAAACACTCGTGTGCTCGAGCGTGTGCGACAATGTGTCTTGCGAGTTCTTGTGGTCCTCTTGGCCGATGAGGTAAGGACGGCTGCTGCGGCGGCGACGACGACGACGAAGACTCCGATAAAGCTCGACAGCGAACTTCAGAGTGGAGGACGGCGGTCACGGGTCTCGCCTGCTTGCTCGCTCGCTCGCTTACTTGCTAGCTCGCTCGTTCGCTTACTTGCTAGCTCGCTCGTTCGCCCAGTGGCTGTCTGGCTTCCTCTCTTGCTCCAAATTAGAGCCCTGTGTCCTGAGCGGAAGTCCTCTGGGTGGAACACTTCCGGCGCTGACCACGGATAAAGGCACGAGAATTTCGAATGAGCAAACTTTTAAGGTAGCCAGCAATCTGCCTGTCCGCTTTCGGTGTGTCTCTCTCTACTCTCTGTATAGACGATGGCCACTGGCAGCGCCGCCGCCGCCGCCGCCGCCAAAATCTCGCACGCTCACCTCCGTCATGGTCAACGCGTCTCAATCTTTCATTTACGCGCCGCTTTCACCGATCCATTAAAATGCGCAATTAAGTTTCAATTTGTGAGCGGAGGGTGTGATCATGGAGCTCGTTTCCCGCCGGCGAAGCGATTGAGTTTTCAGGGCAAAAACTTCCGCTCCCGGCAGCACGGTGTCGGTTCTATTCAATCGAGCGCGTCCTCTGCGTCCCGACCGACTCCTTCCGTACGCGCAAATCCCGCGTCTCCGTGCCGCGACGGAATCGTCGGGAGCCGGGGTCGACTTGCTTTCGACTCGAGTGACACCGAGAAACTTTCGCGATACGACACATATGTATGTGTGTCCGAACGGGCAATGGTATTCAATTCGCAGGCCGAGCTCGGGGGATCGCTTGGTTGGTCGATCGGTCGCTTGTACTATGTACAATGTTGGAGGGTGGCGTGTGCTAAACGATGGTGGCTCGGGGTCGTGGGTATAAATCAATGTTAGCCCAGCCAAGCATTGAGCTTATTGAACGCTTCGGGGGTTGGAAGAGGCTTGGCAAGAGGGGGGAAGGAAGCATTGTGATCGCGCGCGAAGAGACGGGCCGTCGGCGGGCTCTCCGGGCGGCCGTGGCCGACCGGCCAAGATGGAACACAACGATGACAGCCGTTTCTCCCCCCCACGGTGGGGCCATATAATTATTTCATATCTCACAGCAGCAGCACCATTCAGTTTGTCGTCGTTCTATCTGTTCTAACTGCTGTTCGTCCTGCCACAATGGAAGAATCGGAGATGGAAAGGAGACGGCGACGCTGGCGGTGGGGAACAGGAGATGGGGAGCAGAAGAAATGTGCTAACGTGAAGCAGTGCGGGCAAGGAACTAACCGACATGATGACCATCTCTCTTATCTGCTGCTCGCGAGTGGTCGACTCTATTCTGCGCTTGCTTTTCGCTCGCTCGCTCGCCAGTCCGCCCGCTTGCATCACCCGCGGCGTGTGTTCCGTCTATCAATGGACAATGACTAGAAAGGTACTTATCAGCGCGAGCGCGCAAATCTGTGCATTGAGCTCCGGCCGAAGCATGGCCGAGGTAGCAGCCGCAGCGACTGACCCTCCGTTGACAAACGATGCGGCTTTATTTGCTTATAGATTTTGCAAGCAACTATCGGTCAGGCTGTCATCCAACCAGTGGATATTGACTGTATGTGCTGCCTGCTGACCTCCACAAATATGTCTTCCTTCAAAGCGACTGCTGCCGAGCACCGCATTACTCTAACCCGATTGTGTGTGGCTTTGTTTACCGATGCTACGACGGCGGAGCTTGCGGCAGTCTCTCGCTCTCGGTACTGACGAGACTGGGAACAATATCCTACACAAGAACACATGAAGCGAGTCGTATATTCGCACTGCGAGTAGGGATATCGCGCCGTCGAAAACGGATCGGGATCGCTTGGACGTATTTGGCAGAGCGTAATCGACGGTCTGCTCGACTATGATGGTTTAGAGAAGAACTGATCTTGCTGAGGAATGAGGACCTGAATCGAAATTGCGAAATTCCATTATCGGAGAAATAATCGTGGCGAACGACATCGCTGACGACCGTAGGCGGGCTGTCGTCCTTCCTCCGGTCAAGCGATGGGATTTTTTCTTCGCCCGTCGATTCGCCCGTACAAGGATTCGTGAAGTTCAGAAGGAGCTACGGAAGAAGAGAACTGAGCACGGCTCCCGATCACGCGGGGGCGACGTCTGTGAACGATCTCGGGCTGCTGTTCCTCGGAATGTACACCTGTGCATGCACACATTACCAGCGAGCGCTCACAAGGCACTACAGAGGCGGCAATCCCAACAATGCTTTTGAGAAACACTCTACGACACTCCGACACAAACGCGCGTATCGTCACACCGATCGAGGATGAACGGACCTCTGACTCGTCCTCATTGAACTTCGCGTCATTGAATTCCTCGATGCAAATCGGTCCCGAGTTTCTCGCTCGAGTCAGAGTCCTGAGTGGAGTAGTCATGTCTCCCTCGGTCGGTGGCGATTCGCGGTTAACTCCGATCGCTTAGTGAATCTCCATCGAGCTCCGATCCGTGCACCGGTAAGGCAAAGATCGATCGATGGATCGATTCGAATCTGAATCCGCGGGGAAAAGTTCTTCTGGCCTTGGCTGACCGGAAAAATGAGTCGGCATCGCGCATGATCCCGATTTCTCACCTCTCGTCGCTAATGCCATTAGAGCACAATGCAAACGGCTCAGTGCTTCGCTTTGGCGGCCTGCTTGTATGTAAATAAACGGCTGCAATGAGGGCTCGGCACACCCTCAAATAGGATAATCCGGAATGAATTCCCCCTGATCCTCCGAGCTTCGTATCACACCACAGCTCAATACAATCCGAACACAACACGCATATCATTTTGTAACAGCATTCTCGTATTGACTGGAGCAATTGAGAAACGCTTTCCCGATGCCTCCCAAGATGTTCAGCATGCCTGGCTTTATTGCAATGTACCGATGACAGCAATTCAAGCAACCGTCGTCGTCGTCGACGCCACCGCCGCTCGTGCGCACAATGGAGGTGGATTTCGGTTTGGGATTCTTTATTAGCGAGCCAAAGTTTCCGCGCTCCTGAATGTTCGCTTGCGCGACACTTTAGTCGAGTATCGTTTCTCGAATGAGCTCACCAATAGCAGCCGCAGCACCATAACCTCCGAAGTGTTGTAGACCCTCCGTTCCTCTGTTTCATGGATGCATATGTGTCTAGATGAGAGCGGCAACGGTCCCTGGAGGGAGTATATTAAAATCATTAGACACCCCTCACATCGATCACATGTCAGCACCAGCCATCTGGTACCTCAGCACACATCACGCCTCTCGCACATTTTCACATTATGTCGTCGGAGTCTGGTCTGAGTCCGTGAGTGAGTGAGTGAGCGAGGGAGCCAAAGACGAGGATTACATGGAATGTTCTCAGCTTTGAGCAAGAGCGCAAAAAACATTTCCACATTATGTAAACCCCGACTCGATCGAGCGACGAGGTTTTTCGACGAGGAATATCGTGTTGTAGGACTAGAGCATAAGAGATTAGGAGGATTTCTGAGCGCACGGGAACCCTCTCATGTGGCCACCCGTCTCGCTTTGCAACCACTCACGACGTGTTCGAGCTCATCTCTCGAGCTTTATTCCTCTGTCGTTCTCCGCATCGTACCCCAGTCGGTCCTCGTCGGAGGATCGGGAATCGAACATTAATTATGCTGCTTCCGCGGCGCGGTCGTGACTTCTCGCGGGCGCGTCCGTACCATCTAGCGGCGGGATAGACTGTGAATGGTCGCTGCAGAAACATGATCAGTCTTAGCCTGCGATCGGAGGCGTCATAAAAGTCCGACCCAGCTGTTTAGGACCCGTAATGGGTGGGGGCGAAGTTGCATCGTTGTGATGCCCCCATGAATATGTCGCCCCGTCGTGGTCCCCGCACCGGAGCCTCCTTCATAGACTATTCATCGGGTTGCCGCAAGACTGTGCAATGATAATGATGGGCGCGTGGAGAATCAAGACTAGCGCGGATGAGTCGGACGTTGCGACGCGTTGTCTGGTCACGGATGTTCCCCAGCTCCACGAAAAAAAAAATGGTGATCGGGCCTGTATCGATTCCGACGTGAGGACATTGATTCGAAAAGAAACGACCCGCGGTCTGAAAACCATCGGAACGAAACCTTACGCTCGGAGTCAAGTTTGAGGAGTGCCGCACCTGCACTCGCAGCTATTGTCACCTATGCGGGTATTCGCCCACTTGACGTTTAGAGAATCCAACTCTCTCAAACTCTCGAGCATCACTTGGAGATAACACCGCCCGTGTTTGCGACCTTGCCTCGACGCCAGCTGAGCAAACGTGCCCTGCCTGAACCCGATCCGAGCTCGGGTTAGAACTTCTGCGGCCCACGAAGATGCTCGATGTGCGTCTGCTCGAGTTTGAAGAGAGAAGGCATTGAGCCGCCCCCGACGGGCGGCCGGATGTATCGCCGCGCCGTCGCAACGCACCAATGATCCGATTGGTTGGCATGTCCGCGCGGATACTCTCCACGGATCAGACGGACTCGAGAGAACTCCATCGAGCTCGCGATATCTGATTCTCGACCTTCCAGAATGGATTGCAGATCTCCCGGGCAAAAACTACCCCGCCGAGAGCGCCATGATATTCTCGTTTGTAAACCGCGGCAACCAGCCGTGGAACGAGTCAGGTGCACAGTTCCACGTATGTAGTGCTGAACTCTCAGACAGGCTGCAAGACGTTTTTCGAAGAAATCGACCCAAAGTCGAGTAGGTCCGGTGGGCTCGGAGCTTGTGGGTGGACAAAGGCAGATCCGAACTCAGCGAGGAATTCCTTGCAAGGGGCCTTGGTCTATTCGCACACAGGCTCACTCACGCACTCATGCACGAACTGGCACAAAGCGAAACTGACAAATTGCCCGAAAGTCAACACGAACACCTGATGATGCTCCGAAGCCTCCTTGAGATGGAATGCCTTTGTGACTCCGTGAGAGATGCTCACCCGGGCACATCTGCGCGTATCGCCCTCTTCTCAATGAGCCCTGAAAGTCGGCAGTTATGCAAGTTCGTCACACATGAATACTGATCGACCGACAAGCGCGCACACACACACTCACTCACCCCGAAAAACTCGCCATCCATTCATTATGCAGATGAACAGTGGAGGAACCGCCGCCCTCTTTAACCTATGCTTTTTACAGATTTGCCTTTCGGGAGATTCCGCGGTGGCCCGTTCGAGGTTGACAAGCACTTCATGATGGGAAGCCTCAACGAGAGAAGGTGTGTGCTCGAATTGTTCTGTCCACTATATCTGATGCTCCGATGTGCGTTTCCAATAAAGGAAGATCAGAGACGGTGCGTCGGCCCGGACTATCTCGAATTGAAAATTTTTTTCGAAACCCGCAGCTCACCAACCTCCGAGGATCAGAACGATGATAAGCTCATCGAGGTCGAAGACAACGATTCGAATGGTGAAGAGAGCGACCATTCCTCAGCAAACAATGACCCCAACACCAAGTTCAACCTCAACTTCGATCATCAACTGCCGGTACGTGACCTGATCAGAACATTAGAAGCCGTCATCCAGATAAAGCGGTGGGGCTTGGGAGTGGTAACAAGATATAGCAAGTCCGGCGCCAGATCCGAACGTACCCGGCCGAGCCCGAACGAGACTCTCAATCGGAGTCATCATCTGCAAGTGACGAATTTCTCCCAATGAAGATGCTTCTTTTTCCCTCATTATAGGGAGGCGTGCAGAAGAAGCGCAAACGTCGAGTGCTGTTTTCGAAAGCACAGACCTACGAGCTAGAGCGACGTTTCAAACAACAGCGCTACCTCTCTGCGCCTGAAAGAGAACATCTAGCGTCGATGATTAGGCTGACACCGACTCAAGTGAAAATCTGGTTCCAGAATCACAGGTGAGAACTGAATACGGCTGACTTTGTCCGTATCTTATTTCGAAGCCGAGTCTGACCGAGTGAGACGGAGGCTCAAAGAAACTCGCGAGAGGGCTCCGGCTCGAGCACGGGGAAGGAGTGATGTGAGTGAAAGGAGCACTGGGACCGGGGTAGACACGTCGTATCCTTGATGAGGCTTCCTTCTTCCATCCCTCTCGGCGTGTACCTGGATGGCTCCACCGGAACACGCTAATGACCCTCCAGGAAATGATGATGGCAATCTGATCTCGTCGGATCTTCCCCGGATCCGATATCATTGTTCCATGGCTTTCGTGCTCACGAGAGGAAAGTTCAAATTTATGAAACTCAGCTCTCTGATAGGCCAGTTCGCTCGCTCGCCGGTGTTCCGGCTTGCACACGATTCGGGCGGACGTCTCGCGAGAGGAAACGAGTGGGGATCTGGGATGATGACCACTGTGATTCGCGACGAGCACGTTCTACGCACATCTGGTCGCTTCCGAGTTGTTCACGCAGAACTCCTGCGTATGCAACCTCCTTCTTCTTGACGTAGCTAGGCGTGCCGACGTCGTCGCCAGACCGCGAGTTCCCGCAATCCCGTCCGTATGGGGTCCAGCCGCTTCCCGAACTCGACTCCTGCGGGCGAAAGAGCTCCGATTTGGGAGGGAACTTATCGGCCGTGACATGACGCTCTCTCGAAAGGAAGACGCTTGCCCGATGAGCGGGTCTAAGAAGCGCCCAAACATGAAAGGGCTGGTGTCAACTCGAAGACGACCGCTTGTCGTCCTATAAAACCAGATCCGGTTGTCCTCTTTATTGGAGCCTGGGTCCCTTTTCTTCCTCCTGCCGCCGCCGCTGCTGCCGGTCTTTATTCCGCTAAGTTGTATTAACCCGTCTCTGTTAGCTTTTACTTATCTCGTAAATATCCATCAAATGCTGTCAGACACGAGAAGAAGACAGCCGAGAAAGACAGGAGGAGAGAGAAAGCGGGAATATCGATGTAAAAACTTCTTTACAACACTCTCCTGTGACTCGCGCGAATGCAACTTGCTGGCAGTGGGCACGTGCAGCGGTTTGATAGGGTCTCCCAGATTCGAATAACAGTGGCTAAACTCTGAACACGCGCACTCGAGTGTACTCCAGGAAACAATGAGCCACACGAAGCCGAGATAACAGATCCTGTGCGTCATTTGATGCTTGTCCTTTGTGGTTTCTGCCGCGCGATGGATGAACATACGATGTATAGATTGGACAGGGTACCGGGAAACGGGGAGGAACGCTCAATGGCCCAGAACGCTGCCGAACATCGAAATAATCGACAGCAAAATGAATCCATGCCAGCGATTCAGAGCTCGGCGATTGAGACTGCGGAGACGCTCTGACCGTTTTTTTTTCTTCCCGCTTCCAGGTACAAGACGAGACGCGCCCGTCAAGAAGGAGGCTACGGTGAACCGCAAGTCGGAGCAATGTTGAATTCGCCTTCCTCCAGCCAAAGCAGTAATCCGTTGCCATCTCCACGACGAGTTGCCGTGCCCGTACTCGTCCGCGACGGCCAGAGATGTCCCGAAGGTGCTGTGGACATGGCGGCCTATCTGAACGCGGCGGCACACTATCCCGGACTTCCACCGCCAGACGCTCGCTGGTGGTCGTAAGAACTTATTCGGCGCTGTACAGAAGTACATTATTTCTAGTCATGCCAAGCGAGTGGATACGTCTATCCATTCGTCAACGATTCCATAGTTCCTGTTCGATTCGAAGTTCCGGAGACGCGACCACGCGATGTGCTTATCCCAATCAGCGCGCTAATCGAATGCTTCGTCTTATTTCGGCAATGTTAGGATTTCGTTAGGTTCAGGCACGGATACACTAGGAGCAGCTCCCCCGATCCACCGAACGGTGATCCCATATCCCGGATACGTGTACATGTAGATGATGTGAAAATAGCCTAAGCGTCAGGCTAATCTACGGCAATCAATCGAAGGTACCGTTGCAACTGCCGCAACGGTAGCTGCGACGGCACGCGAGAACACATGTAGCGTTTCCAAGACCGTCGACGCTGTATATTCTTAGGAACGGCTGTAGAGTAGGATGAGCGAGGCGAACTCGAGTAGACTCGAAAAATCATAACATTTGTATTATTTGCGACTCGTGTCATCGCGAACTCAATCCTCGTTGGCAGCAGAGTGTCGGAGCTGGGAGCGACGGGAAGATCCATGCTTAGTTTCAAGCTGTAGCTTACTTAGGCCAGAATGTACATAGTAGCGACTTAGTGTGATAAAAGCTGGAGGATTCAAATAAACATGTTACAAATGTGTTCTAAAAAATAACGGATTTTATTTTCTCAATCCGACTCGTCTATTTCACGGTCCGATGCCGGGCTGCTGGGACAACACGTGTCCCTGACCAGGCTCACTTGGCACGCTTGTTGCCAGACGAATATCCAAGGCAGCGGACCTCCTGAGAGCATCCGGTACGCCGCGTCAAATGCTGCAAGCGAAATGGTTGTTTTCTGTTTACTGGAATTAATTATGCTCAATGAGCCCTTCAGCTCATGTTCGCTGCCTACGACAGATGAGCGCCAGACTGCTACTCACAGATTCGAGGACAGTGAGCATCGGTCAACTTCTGCACTGCTTCTTCAATGGTCGCTTCCGAGATTGCCGATGTCAGTTCTCGTACGACGCACGTTGTGAATCTGTTCGAGTTGTGACGGGGGAAAGTTATTCTCGGTTTCCCTCCTCTGTTCGGCGACCGAGGTTTCAGTTTCCAGGAACTTCTGACTCACCCTTCCCGTATGGCGTCCAGCGCAGTGAAGAGAACACAAGCGTCAAAAGCGAGTCCGACAACTATCAGGTTGGTGATACCCCGCTCCAATAGCGACTCTTTAAGGTTCGTCTTGCTCGAACGGCGATTATCCCAGAAAGCTGAATAAGAATCCACTTCTGGATCGGTTCCTTCGGGGATGAATCAGGAGGACAGTCAATAAAATTCATTCATCCTGATCAGAGGCGTATCCTGATTTTTTCCAATGGGGCGTCTGGGTTCGAATCTGTATTTGGCTTTGGATCCGATGAGGTTTGAAACTTGGGATGAACCGTTACGCAGGTACCTTTGTAGACGAATATTGCGCCCTCTTTGACTACGAGATCTTTGTGCAGTCGCGCGCCTTCTGAATGCTGGACACAATGCCGAGGCCACATTTTCTGAATATATGGCCTACCCTGGATCTCGAAGAACAGTTCCTCGGCAACTTTCACCGCTCCGGGATCTATACGATTACTCTCATGAGTTTTCCGCCGATTCCGGCATTCGATGAATGAGATATGGTCCTCGGGATGCCAGTCCAAACTGTATACAACTTCATCAGATTTCACAATGAATTCGTTTAGCCGAGGCAGTAGAAGTTCCGGGTCATCTCCGAGAGGACATTTCTTCAGAGATAAGGAACCGTCAATGAAGTCGTTCTGGTAGTCGACCACCACAAGAGCACTCTTTGGTTTGATGCACTTCTCCAACAAAGTGTTCCATAGACAAAGGAATCCGTCCCTCGATAGCGCGTCCGTGCCACCATATTTCTTGAATATATGGTGAGCTCTTGCTCCGAATTTCTCATCGTCGTCGCATCTCGGATAGGTGTTCCTCAGAAATTCCGTAAGTTGATGCAAGCTCACGGTGTCGTTCCCCTCCGAAGTTCGCTCGAAGGTTTCCATTTTCCGAAATCACTCACGTCGCCGCCACCTGCAAGGAAGAACGGTCCGGATGCTGACGGGTTCCGATCAATCTGTCGTCGCTCTTGCTGCGGATTCCAAACACTCAATGTAATGACAATGTCGTTGACAATGAATACCAGGTAAACGAATCCGTCTCTAGTGCTTCCGAGACGTGTAATAGCAATCCCAGTCACAGCGAGTTCGATCCCTCACGGTCAAACGGGCGTCATGATGACGACCGCCCACGTAGGATGATAATAATCTGACTCAGAGCGACGAGAATGAATTGACAGGTTCTTGAACCTAGTACACCCGAGTACGTGTTGCTGGACTCGACCGGTTTCCGCTAGTTCTCCAAGGACATTCATACAATGAATGCCCTCATCGGCACGGATTCGGAAGGCCACTCTCGGGAATCCTCTACTGGAATACTCACTGTCGGAAACGGAGTGTCTTGACAACTCCGGTGTGTTTCGAAGCGGTAAGAATGAGGTCCAGCATCATGCTCCGTTCGAAGGTCGCCGAACCGTGTGTGCGCCAGAGAACTCGTTCGGGAGAGGGAGGACGAATTCAAACCGAGCCCGCCACTTCTCCAACAGGAGCAACACCATCATCATCGCTGGACCCAAGCGTGAGCGGTGCCGGGAATGGACTGACGATCGGTGATGTAAGTCTGGAAGCGGGGAAATCCGAAGGTGAATGCTAAGAGCATTTTTTCTCCCCGAAGAGGGAACGAATTCCGTACACTCGACGGCGTTGCGTCGCCAGCGTCCACGATACAGTGTCTGAGCAGCTCATGCTCACTCTTTGGATGTCGAGTCGGTGGCGCATGGAAGCAGGACTTTCCTCCTCAGGCCTACGATTATTGACTCGATTACATTGTTAGGCGTCATGAAGAAAACAATTTTAAGCTGTCAGCGGTCGATTCGACTCAGGCGGATATTCGAAATCCCATTTAAGGCTTGACTCATATCGCGAGGGATAAAAGATGTTACACAGAGGAAGGCGACAAGCGCCTAATCTATCGCTCGGGAGGGAGAAGGCGCGATCCTCTTCTTGAGCAGATTTGAGAAATGGAACGGGGAAGAAAGAGTCAACTTCATAAACATTTTATACTCAGACGGAAGGGATCTGTGCCAGCCCACTACTGAACGAAGCAGCGAGTGTGCGTGCCGATTCCTACACCGGAAGGGAATTCATCAGCTTATCTTTATAATGTCTTGCACCCTTTGCGATGATCTGGCCGCAGGCGTTCCGTGGCCGACTCGATGTAAATGAGGGGGGAAAGTCGATGACACCGAGTCGGCTCGAATACCGACTTTACGAGGTCAACGACGGAACTCCAAACACCGACAGAGGCCTCTAGACACCACATCATGCCCCGACTTCGAGAGTCGGGCTCGATTTCTCCAGGAATCCGTGCGATCCGGATGCTTGATTCCGGTTCGAGAGGAACCGCCCAGTCTCGAACCCCGCTATGCCGCCGATCCAGCTTTTCCGTCGGATGAAAAATTCAGCCGTCAGCTTACTTTAGGAAGCGGGACGCTAAAACCGGCGGTAGACGCACGATCGAGATTCTCAGATTTATAGCCGATTGTCATTTACAGATATCCGCCCGCGGATTGCCTTGATTGGGAGAGCGTTTATCTCTCGAACCGGTGACATAAGGCAGCAGATTAGCGTCGAATTCGTATATGCATTTATTCGCTATGTTCCGGCTGATGTGCGATGGCTGAGATGTGTGCGGCAAAAGGCTGCTATCGTCGTCACGGTGTCTGTTCATTGTAGCCGACGATAAAATACACGGTCGCAGTCGCACACATATTCGCAAGCTGATGCCGGTGGGAGCGATCCGGGAGCCCTGATAAGGATGATACAGATGATCTACTTCCGCAAATGGGCTAGGGTTATAGGGCTGACTGGAGCGCCAACGATCGGACTGGCTGGAGGGCACCCCCTCAGGTAATTACGCCCCGACGCGGTTCGTCAGGAAAATTGGCGCTCCCGCTCGAACACCGAGTCGAAGCCTGCGACGCTTTCCGATACGTCTGTCATTCCCTCGACAGCGTGGCGTGGGCTCTTAATAGTTTCCTGTCTTTTCATACCCACATATTCCGTTGGGCTGATGCTTCTCCGGGAGAGTCAGCGAATCATTCCTCCCGAATTTCGGAACTCTGTTCGGAATCCCTCGGACATTTCCAAACGCGAATATTCGAAAGAGTATCCTCGCGGGGTCTCCGCAACAATTTCCCTCCGGGCCGCAGTCGGACCGTCTATTCTCTAGTCTGAGTAGAAGACAGAAAAAGAGGTCGGTGCTCGACTTCCTCTACCTTCTCATGAGGCTTCGCTCGTCAGTAAACTATGTGACTCTTTATTAACAGACCAAGGACTCAGAAGATTCCTCTTTGACTCGCGTAAGGGTCGTGAGCGTAAATATTCCTACTTGATTCTAGAACTAAGTTGCTATTTACAATTTTTCTTCGTAGTTTATGGTGGGTGTCCTCACATTAGGGGGAGGGATCACAGGTGGTGAGAGTTCGAAATCATGCGCGGAGTACGGGAAGCTGATCGTCTGAATTCGGTTTGTGGGTAGATCATATACCTGGAACACTCCGACCTACTCGAATTAGCTCGAGTCTGATGGCGATCATTGAGAATTTCCAAGCCCGTTCGGCCGGTTCCACGCGTCGATATTCTAATCAAAAAACACTCGACTCTTACTTGGAGCATGCCTTGCTGCTGCGATCTCTCGAAACGGCACCAGCGCGAAATTCTCTTGTTCCATCTCCAGTTCCTCTGGAAGAGTGCGTCGGCCGCTATCAGCTGCTGGGTGTCTCGGGTAAAGAAATAAAATAGGAAGAATAAAGTGAGTTCGTCCAGCATCTGGAGTCGTGGATTCCGCAGTTTATCTTTCAAAGCATCTGACATCGCATAGTACTTGTCGCTCTCCAGTACAGCGACTTTGTGACCACGAACGAAACGATGATTCGCATCCTCGTTTCTCAGATCCTGCAATACAAACGTCCCAAAGGCTTCGGATCCCATAGGTTTCTCTGAACGATTACCGGAATCCGTGGATAGGGGCGGGATCATATTCGGCTGGCTCGTATTCCCCGGGAGAACAGTGGATTGAAATATGCGCACCTCATCCATACCATAGAACGACATACGCGACGCTCCGGTTCCAGACTTACTTCGGGCTCACGCAGCAGCGTACACTGGTTCGACACGTTAACGCCGACGAACAGATTCTCGATCGGCAGGGCTCTCGTTATCGTTTCGGTGGCGCACTCGCCGAGAGGATGCAACTTGGCAGCTCTGTGAACTAGGTCGTCGAAGTTCAGCATTCGATAAGCTTCGCAAAACTCGCTCGACGACCACCGCTTGATGAAAGACTTCAGGTCGTAGTTCTCCGGTGCCAGGGCGCCTACCGGCCGCAGATCAGCGGTCGCTTGGCTTGTAGGAGGTTGTCGACATTCCTTGTGTACTTCCTCCTCCTCCGGCAGCTATCGAGCAAAGACAAATAATGATAGTTGTCTGAATGTCGCTTTTCAATACAATGAATAATTATCCAGACAAGCTTCCTCAAGGTTTCCGATGCGTCGACTGTCTTGCATGGTGGTAAGCTCGATGAACTCACAAGTGTTCCTGGTATGCGTGGGAGCGCGGGAAAGTCCTCCTTGATCACATGGAACTCATCCCTCGTATGATTGCCATTCTCAAGCCTGTGGAAGTCAATTGAGGTTTCAGCACTCAGCGGCGGATATTCCATCATCGCTGGCGTGTCTTGTCGATTTCTGCTGAGGCTCGCTGCAGGACCAGACGGTTCTGCGTAAGAGAAAAAACGAATTCGCCATAATCTACGGAAGAAAACCCTGACGAATCCTCTGTGACGGAGCTCCGGCCTTGTCCATCTTCTCCGGGACTATTCGAATGTTAGATATTCGACGAACTGAGAGAAGACTCACTCAGAAGATGAGCGAAATCGTTGAGCTCGGGCTGAGAAGGATCTTCCAAATCTCCAAATGAATATTCACCGGGCGCTTTCCTCAGCGCCAAACTCGGGGATTCCGCCTTGTTCGCATTCGCTCTAGCGGGGAAGGGGGTCAACGGAGATAATAATTTCGGTCGACGGAGCGATCATATGATATATGTGGTTCCATTTTAGGGATCATTTTCCTATCGCCGTCTAATTTCGTTCGGGAGATACCTGTTAATTGAACTTTGCGAATAACTCAGTCGCACGATCTCCGCTCGTCCCGTCGACGATTGGATCGGGGATGCGGGCCAGAAAATTCCCGGAGGACTGCCCCTCACATATCGTGCGTTCCCATCAGCTTGAGCGGGGATTTGGTTGCCGTCCGGTGGAGCTGGTTGCCCCAATGGGCCGATCAAGAACTGGGGTTGAACAGGCATATCTGCGGCAACGCAATAAGGACTTTTGTGGCGCAGGAGAATAAGGCTTGGAACCGATCCAACTGTCCGAGCCACTTAGGGAGAGGACTCGCCAAAACCGAACGGCTGTATGATTTCCGGAAAAAGAATCGCCCGATGGCGAGTGACGAACCTTTTCTTAAAAACGTGGATGAGTCTGATAGTGTTCGATTGGAGGAGTTAGTGGGAAACTCCTCAACTGCGGCGTGGACTCTTTGAGCACGATGCCAGATCACAGATGACAGACGGGGATGTGCGTGTTTACCGCCTGGTGTTCAAGTGCACGTTATCGCGCTCGCGCCGTCGCGACACGAATCGTAGTCGAAAACCAATGGTTTCGCGACGAAGAGAAGCAGCACGACCTCGCTCCAGCCGCCCCGACTTCACGCCGGAGGACGGAAGCTGCTGGAGCTTCCTCGGCCGATCGACTCCCGACGGAGTACATGGGGAATTCGATCTGGGATTCATTTTCCCTCTACATGGACGACGTCGTCATTGATCGGAACAGATTAAATATTATTTGGATATGAGGGCTCTCGCATCCAGCCGTCTCGGAACTTCCATCATCATCAGTAGTATAACTCTATTGGTTTGGTTCTAATTCGCTCTCTCGACTATTTGTCCATTTCGCTTTCAACCCCTCCTCCGATCAATTGCAGACGAAATCAAAACGCGATTGTGGATTGCTGACATAGTTGCGAGGGGGGAGAGAGGGAACGGGTCGTTGAGGATCGAGAATAACGCGTCTTGATGGAGTTGAAATGTTGGAAAACATCACTGCTGCAGAGAGAGGCGCTTGGTTCATGATGTGGAGGAGTGGGTGAGGATTCGCTCAGCTCAGGCTGAGGAGGATCTTCCACATCTCCGGATGAATATACACCACGCGCTCTCCTGAGCGTCGGATTCCTTGATTCCTCCTCATTCGCATTCGTTGCAGCAGGGGAAAAGGAAGAGAAAATGGTCGAGGAAGCGATCATAAGACATTCTGGCGTTCCCGGTCGCCACCCCGCAGCGACTTGGGACCCCCGGCTCCTCTAGGCATGCGTTTGCTCTAGGTGCGCTCATTTCGGAGGCGCTAGTGATAAGTGCGCTTGACGTCGCTGTCAATTAGTGTTGCGTCATGTTTGCTTTCCTCGTCAACAATAATCCCCTGCCTTCCCTCCTGCTATTCTCCCTGACATCGCCGTGTGCCTCGGTATCCCGTTTCCCCATATTCCCGTCTCCGCATCTTCCTCATACCCGTTCTCCCGTCGCCTCGCCGGTTCTTCCGTCGCTGTTTTTCCCAGGTATCCCGCCTTCCCGTCACTCCGTTCCGCGGCTTACCCCGTTTTCGGGGAAAAAGGGCACAGACCGGTGAGACCTTTTGCTACCCCTGGGAACCAACCAGAACCAGGGTCGTGTCGCATAGGCATCGTCAGACGTCTCCCGAATTCGACCGATTTCGTCATATGAAGGACGAAGTATATCCGGCTGATTGCCTAAGCCAAACCGGAGACGCTTCCACGTCGAAACGTGGATTAGTCTAAAGATGTTCAATTGGAGCAGTCAAACTTGTTAATCACGGCTTGGGCGTGGACTTTCCAAGCACCATCCCTGAGCACAAATTACAGGCAGGGACGTTCGTGTTTGTGTTCGAGTGCGTGGCGTTCAAGTACACGCTGACTCCGCATCAGCATCGGAGGAAGGAAGCTCGTAGAGCTCCCTGGGTCGATCGAGACCTAACGAACGACTGTCGACGGGAAAAGAAATGAATTCGATGTGGAAGTGATTTTTCGACTACATCGACGACGTCGTGATTTATTTGAACAGATAAAAAATTGTTTGGATAAGAGGGCTCTTGCATCCAGCCATCTAGAAATTTCATCGTCATCATCAGTAGTGTAATTCTGTTGGTTTGCCTCTCATTCGTTCGTTCGATTGTTCGTCCATTTCGCTTTTTTCTCTCTTCTGATAATTTGCAGACGAAATCCAGACACGAAGTCCGCTTGTGGGTTGCTGTCGTAGTCACGAGTAGGGAGAGAGAACGGGTCGTTGAGGATCAAGAATATGGCTTCTCGAGGAAATGTTGGAGAACACTCGCTTCCGCAGCGAATGACGCTTGATTCACGATGCGAGTGAGGAACTCGGAGCCTGCGCTGCTGAGTTTTGAGATACTGGTGGGGATGAGGGCAGTGGAGGTGTTGCCTGACGGTTACGTCGAGCTCCTTGCTCCCTTGCGATCCTTTTCTCGGACGCCGCCGCTGACATCGCGCTAGACGGATGACGACATAGCGCTACTGCGTACCGCATCTGCTGTCATTTACGATGTTCAACACGAATACTTTACACATTGCGAGGAAGAGACAGAGATAATACAAAGTTGTGCCAAAATGTTCGTCTTCATTTTCTTCTCTCCATCAAAGACACTTATACACACAAGCGCCGTCAAGTAACAACACATTATTTTTGGAGGTGATATCGACCGCGCGTCCAGAGGATCAGTCACCCCGTCAGACTGAGTCTGTGGAAACCTTCCAGTCTAGGCATGCTCGCCGGAAAGAAAAAAACGGAAAGCAGCTATTGAAATGACGAGGAAATCGACGACTTGGAAGAGAAAAAAACTCCTGAGAACAACAAAATGAGTGTTTGCAGCGAGCCATCGTCTATGGCCGATGGTCGTCGGCATCGTACCCGATCTCGGCCGAGTGCTGGTTCGTCGAGAAAAAAAAATGGTCTGTGCATTCGTCGAACCGTTTCCGGGTTGGGAACATGCGGGATCGGGGAGAGGAAAGCGGCGGCATCGGCCGACGACGGACGGACTAAAGTAACAGATGGTTTTGTGAAAGCGTACAAGAAATAGGGTGGAATGATGCGACGGCCAATGGAGCGTCGCCCGTGCGAGCGTACGTCAGGACGGCAGGCACGTGAGAAAGAAATCATTCATCGATCGCTCGAGCGTGTGTGCATGCATACATGCATGCATGGATGGATGCCTTGGGAGTGGACAATGATTTTCGCGGTGAAAGATTTTATGACAGAGTTCTGTAGTATACGTACTTAAAGAGTCGTGGTCTATTCGTATCGGGATTGTCAGAGGGCAAACAATTCTCTCTCTCTCCTGTCGCATTAGCTCATCATCAGCAGCAAAGTCTGATAGGATACAAACAGATGGCTGGAGAAGAGCTCGATGGAATCCGCTGCTACTAGCGCTGCTGCTGCCGCCGCCGCCGCTGCACACACTCACTTCCGTCCTCCCGCAGTTGAAGAGCAAGAATTAATTAGGGTGATTACATAAACACAATTATAATTGTATATAATAACATTTTTTTCGTCAGCGACTTCCGTCTAAATAGCTTTCTGCTGCTTCTTGACTCGCTTCAATTACGACCAGAGATGCCATCGCAGATGCGGTAGGTATTCACAAGGGTTTTGTTCCGTGGTATTATTACTCGCAGTAGTAGAAGTTGTTGTTGTTGTCGATAATGACGTAATCGCTGATGTTGTCGTTGATGTTCACAAATCGGTGACCGAGATCCAGCGAAGCTTATCCTGAATCCTCTACCCACGACTCATTCGAGATATCCGTCCAAAAATTCCCTCCGTTGCCAACCTCCAATGCGATGACTAAGGAAGTGGCTGCGTCGGGTTTCCTTCGAACGAGATGTGGAAGCTACGAGACGACCACCACGGTGTAGGAGCTCAGACGAAGGAGCGGATGCGTTCAGGTCGACTTGAAGGTTTACATGTGGAGCGATCTGCTTTTCATCCGTTCCCCTGTCCGAGTATTTGCGTTTTCTTTCAATTATTTCACCTCTCCGACTCGCGAAGCAGAGCGGATCGTGCGCCGGAGAACGGAAAAGGGTGATCGAGCGAGTGGGAGACCGAGCAAACGAACGAGCGAGCGACCTTCTATCATACATCCATCCACCATCTATCAACCATCCATCTGCCTCCCCTATTATCGACGACGACGACGGCGACGACGACGACGAAAAGTTGATGAATGATCACAAGCCAGTCGGAAAGCCAAGCTGCGGAGGTCGCTCTTCTAGTCGCTCGTAGGCTAAATGAAACTCTTTGGCTACCTTGCGCCAATTGACAGGATCGAAGAAATAATACGTGCCACGTTCGTACGTATTCGTTTTCTCGGTGGGACTGATGCCCGCCCGGGTGATCCATACCCGTTCGTCTCGGTGGAATCTCCAATCTCGGTTATACAGCTCGCCCGCAGCCACAAGCTGCATGATGTCTCCGCCGAACATATAAAACATGAAGAATAGCGTGTCTTCGTTATAGCGACTCAGCTTAACCGAAGTCAGTTTGTCCTTGATGTGAGAGTTGATTAGGTACTCTTGAGGGACGTTGTACTCGATTTCGTGGGGCCGCAACGCCTGATCTGCCCACGGCCCTCCGAACACGGTGAATAAATTTTCTTGAGAATTCAAATTCAATCCTAGCGAAGTCAAATCGGATCCTAATGCTAACGACACGAGATTTGGTTCGGTTTCGGCCACTCGAATGAAGGTCAACAGTCCTACCATTCCGTACTGATCTCGAATCATGCCCTGCGGTATGTTACTAACTCGTCCCTCCTTTGTTGTAATGATTTGTTTCCGTTGGGGTGATTCTGGCGAACTGATTTCTTTCAGCTGACGTTCGCCGTTCACCGTCTTCTCCGGCGTTACTATCTGGTGACAATTCGACGATAGACCGTTACTTAGGCCGTTCTTCGTCGCACTTGTCTGTAAGAATCAAACATACATTGCCTTTGGAGACATGCGGAGGAATTTCAGCTGGCTTGGCTCGTTCGTGCAGAGCCTGATTTATTCATATGCCCTACGCGGGTGGAGCGAGATAATCGACCACGATGAATAATGAAACCAATGATGACTCCAAACTCATAATCCCGGGCCGCATTCCCTCCTCGAAATCGTGGAGTACTTACCTGTTGCGAAATGGGCTGCTCTTGGCCTGGTTGTGGAGGCTGACTGTTGTGGTTTGAGCCAGGTAACGCGGGGAAGTCCTCGTTTTGAATATGGAATTCACTCGATTCGCTATTCGGGTTCTTCACCATTCCGACTGCGTGAGAAAATGAAGAGCCATGATTATGACGTCCCTTTCGTTTTTGATAAAGCGGCAGAAAATCGGGGTAGGGGAGAGGCGGTCGTCTAGAGTTCTATCGTGTATCCGCGACAAATGCGCACAAATTGTTTCGGATCGCGTCCGATAAAGTTGACGCGAACGAAAGACTGAATATTTTGGCTAATACGACAATTTGTGATTGGCATTTTCCGGTCGATAAGAACGCAGTTTCGAGTCAGATTCCGAAAATCAGGTGGACAATAGAACGAATTATGAGAGGCGAACGAGAAGAAGGAGGAGAATCGAACACAAACAAAATATTGTAATACCCACATGCAAAAGGCTGGTTGAGTCTCATAACTGTAAAACAGTCACAAGCATATGAGTCTGATATTCCGTAAAAATTATACAGTAACGGGATGAATCGCGCAAGGGACGTCCCATCGACAATTAGCGCTCAATCAAGTTTCAGCGTAAACCGATCAGAAGGATAGTCGGGAGTCGGATTTCATATCGGGAGCATGTAGAAATCGGCAATATTGGTTTGATCGAGTTCTAGCCCGATGAAAAATCTGAATGGCTCGGAACGATGTGGAGGCGCCACATTCTCCACCCATACGGCGCCGGTTCTCAGAGCGGTCGATAGACAAGACTGATCGCATCTGCCAGACCGAAGGAGCGGCGAGTGAAAGGTTCAAACTCGCAACAGCGAGCGGCCCGATTGTCAGAGCCGTTGGCATTTTGCCCCAGTCTAAATCGTGGAGCAGAGGACTGTATGCAATACGTAGTCGTCGACCAAGGGGATCGGCATCCGCCGCTCGATTGAGTCGAATTAGATCGTGTCGTACTCACCGTAAGGTGTTCTGCCGGACATTGGGTTGATGGTCGTACTCGAATCCCGATTTGTTAATGAAGGGAATTCGGAGAGGTCTAAGGATGGGTTCGAGTTGAAAGGATTCCCTCGAGGTCCTCCCATAAAACTTCCTCCGCCGCCGTTCCGCCATAGCATAGGACTCTGCTCATTGAACCTGGAAAAATATCAGAGCTCCTTACTGAAGGATACGGGACCGAGCGAGCCGATTCGGAAATGCATCATGGAACCCTACGTAACCGAATCCCAATGCCGGCTCATTAGACTCACCGCTGAGCGCTGTTCTGCTGGGTGTTGCTCTGAGGTCCGATGGGTCTAGCACCCCCAACAGCCATTTGTCCAGCGCGAGCCCCCGGAGACGGTAACGTTGGCGTGGATATTCTATTAGAGCCCTGTTGGAATCGTTCGAAATCCGCCATATCCGCTCTCTGTTGTTGGATGTTCTGCGCAGAGCCCCCACCACCTTGGGGGCCTGGCCCAGCAAAGAAAGGGATTAACGAACTCCCCGTGGGTTGCCCGTAGGCGAACTGTGATGGTGATGGCGACGTCATCATTGCCTGCAAAACGTCGACGGTCGAATTTGAGTCAGTATGGACAATTCGGTTCTTCTCGAATTCAGCTGAGGATATCCACCTTGTTAGATGGAGATTCATATATAGTTTCCATGACGAGTGGCCGAGCGCCTATGAGGCTCGTGACTCGTGACCTGTACAATCGATCGCAGGAACTCACGATGACTCACTCCGACATTCTCACTGGATGCCGGTCAATCCGAGCGGTTCAATTCACTGGATTGAGACACTCGAACGTATAGCCTCCGGTCGAAGAATCGACTCATGAACGAAAGAGCTTCAATACTCAGCGCGGGAGGGTCTCCGGAGAGGCGAGCTTGTGTCTGATTGAGTCGTGCCCCTCCAGTGAACGTCAGGACGTGAATGACTGCACCCCAGTCGGTCGGATCTCATTGTCGGAAGACCCATACGAGGCCCGGATCCCAAGCTCTCCAAACTCCATGGAGTTGTCCTCCTGCGAGATTGGCTCCGCGGAACAATACCGGTAGGCGAATCCCCCTCTAGAGACTACAATTCGTGATTTCCTTTCACTCGATGAATTGAGGAAGGCGAGTTCTTATTATTACATGTTCCTTGTCGGGCATGGAGATTCGAGACAAATTACGCGGATCGACAGGTCTCGCTCCGATACGTCGAGCACCGTCAGCTCTGACACGATCTCCCTTGGAGAGATGAGATGAGGTGAGCTTGGAGAGACACCTTGTGACTGAGTGAACCGTAGACACCGGACAGCTGAGGCTGAGTGAAACCGATCTCCATCGAGATAGGCGAATCAGCCGGAATCAGGAGAATCGGTGGTTTCCAGAGTGTCGTTCAAAGCCGGGCATCAGTCGCCACGAGCGTTTGCAAAACGCACGGCGACCGCAATCGAAGCATCTAAACATGTCCCATTGATTTCGTTCGCGCCAGGTCCCCATAATCGTCGATCACGTTGCAGTTAGATAACTGCAAGCTTCCATGGGAACACCTCGAAATACTTTTGCGTCGCTTGCCCCGTCATTGAGGGTTTGGCGCTTTCCCAGAGCCCACAACACAACGAGCGATGACTGACGGAGCTCGACCAATTGCAGCTGTCAGGAGTCCTGTCCGACAAGGGACACCGTGACGACTGATGGACGCATAAGTCCCGCTTGGGAAGTCTCCTGAACTCCCGGAGCTAGCCGAAAAACCCATCATTCCCGTCTAGCAACTGATTGTTGTCGCATTCGGCATCAGACAGGTCCGGGGACCATTTGTGGTCCCGATTCGATCGCGAAGCCCAGCGAGTCGATCAGGACAGAGCCGGCCCTCGATTCGATCCCATTTCGAAGCCTGCGCCCGAACAATCGACGGCTTTGAAGCTCGGAGAAGCTAGCTGGCTGCCAGCAGCGATTTTCCAGCTTATGTTCCTCGCAATGGCAAGCGGCTCAAGGCTTCGTTTGAATCGACGTTTCCTTCAGCTGCATGATGTTATTGACGTACCAGATTGACGGGTTCGCCGTACGCACTCAGAGTGTTGCTTTATCTCGCACCCTTTTCGCTAAAATTCATGGATGGTGCACTTCGTACCTTCACACAAAATAACAACACCTACTTCGTCCTTTTTCACGTCGAACGCACTTTCAGCAGCGGCGCCTCATAGAAGCCTGCTTCGGTCGAGCCCGCCAAAATTCAAAATTCCCGACGCGGATGCTCGTTGACTTCGAGGATCTCGAAGCGTTCTACGAGGGTGAGCGTCCCGCGAGCCCATTCCAATGTAATCATCTTCACGGGGTGCAATCTCTTCCCTACCTGGCGATGAGTCTTCAACGAGGAGAACCCGACGCTCCGATACCGATGATCTGATTTGTCCAGACTGAGTCCTCACGTCAGGAGGTTTAACATGCTCGGGAACGGTTCGACGTCTAGGTCAGGCCGGAGGAGTCACAGATGGAGCCCTCGCAATATTTCCGCCAGAATCCTCCGGAGTCTTACCGTGGACGAGGAAGCACGAAGCTCTCAGTTCTGGAAATTAGCTCGTTCATATGTCGCAATGGATCTACTCATCTGAGTGAGAGTATTCCCACGTATTTCCGAGCGTACAGTCGTGACCAAAATCGCTCGGGCGCCTCTGAGAGGCTAGGAACTCGGTCCCTACGTCCCTCCTATTCCGCTCCCCAGCTTTCCATCGAGCCTGCGTGCCTGCTCCGACACCAGCTGATCATACCCTGAATTCGCCGCGAACTTTGATTACGCTGTCGATGCGGGAAGAATCAAGCGAATCTAGAGCGAGGCCGCCCAAGACCAAGAAGAAGCCGAGACTCTGTGAGCTTGTGTTCTTCCCCGAGATTCGGGGAGAGCGCCTCTTCGCGATGATCCCTCACTTCTCCGCCGCCATGTTTGTAAACACTGCCGACACGTGCGCGGCGGTGTTCGAGTAATGCGCCATAAACGATCCGGAGGAAATCTTCGGATGAAATAAGAGTCGCTTATCTCAGTGCGCCATGGAGCAACGCAGGCTCTACATAGGCGGTTTATCAGATGCTGTGTTAGAGAAAGATATAAAAAGAAGTTTAGTGAATTCGGTACAGTGAATGACGTTGAGATACGATGCAAAGAGAACTACGGAAATCGACGATACTTCGCGTATATCAACATCCAGGCGGACAGGGGCAGCATCGATAATTGTGAGCGTTGATGAGTATTGATGAGTCTCCGGAAATTCCCGAACTCGAATGCAGAGCGGTTATTGCAGCAAAGCATGAGAAGGAGTTTCGAGAGCCGGTTGGAGAGACGTCTTTGTTTTCCAGGTGTGCGCGCATGCAACAATCTCGAGTGGAAGGGTGGCACGCTCAAGGTACAGCCCGCGAAAGAGAGTTATTTGCAAGCGGTCCGGAACGACATACAGGAGAAGAAAAGACCTGTGGCTGTCGAGCCTCAATCCACTGGGAATGTTTCGACAAAAGCTCAAGGGACGAAGAGGAAGGAGCCGCTCAGTGATGATGGGAGTGATGACGAGCCGCAGAGCTATCTTGGAGTACCAGCGTGGAAGGGATTCAAGTCGCGACCCGCATCTTCCCCGTCGACTTCAAAACCCGACATTGTCGAAGCGAAACAGAGCTCAAGTAGGAAGCTGGAAACCTCCGGGACCGGTGTCCGCCGTCGATTGTATATTGGAGGTCTCCCAGAGAGCGCATTGGATGGAGACATCAAGACGAAATTCGCAGAGTTTGGTCGCGTTGGGAGCGTTGAAATCAAATGCAAGGAGAATTACGGTAACAAGAGGTTTTTCGCTTACGTGGATCTCGATACCACCGAGAAAAAACTCGATCAATGTGAGTGCGATAGAATCCTCGTTTTCGCTAAATATTTTTGCTCGGGGGTACGTTTTCCTTGAGGATGCGATGCGATGCCGTCTCGCTGCGGAATCCAATTGACGTTTTTGTCTCTTTCAAGGCATTCGTGAGTGCGATAATCAAACATGGCAGGGCGCGCGCTTGAAAGTGCAGATCGCCAAGGAGAGCTTTTTACAGAAAGCTCATAAAGAGATATCTGAGCGCAACTCGCTCGGGAACTCCGCTACGGTCAACGAGTCACGTGAGGATCGGGTTGGAGGCGTGGGAACGAGACAACTCGATAAAGGCGAACCAATGGATCTGGTCGACGAGCGCCATTCCGATCAGTCTCGACACAACAGGAGAGACAACTTCAGCGACAGAAAAACGTGGCGCGATTCGAGATATGACGATAACTATCAGAGAACGAATAAGCCTACCTTCGGGAAGTGGGATCATACGCAACCTATGGGCGATCCTCGCGATACCATGCGGGAACGTCACGACCGCCCCCAGAAGTGGGCTTCCGCGAGTCATTCGAAGAGTGGTGAGTCAGACCCCCGGCTGCTTATGCGCATGGTACTCAAATCAGTCATGCATGTTCGTTAGGCTGCTATAATCGAGAGCTTCGATTCAAGGGAGCTTCCCGGGACCGGATGGGCGCGACAACACCTTTGAATCCGAGAAAAACTGCCTTTTCGATGAGATTGACGCTGCCGATAAACTCGGTCTTGAACAAGATGAACTACTCTCGGGCGATGAGCAGAAGGAATCTAGAGAAGAGGACGTCAATGATCCTTTATCCGAGAAGAATCTCGAGGATTTATTCGATCCAAAGTCCGGCAGCAAGGGATTCACCCTTTCTTCTCTGTTCTCGGATCAGCTCAAAGGTAAATGTGGAACCAGCGTTCCGTCTGTTTCCTCGATCATTATCGACCACTTTTCTATTGATCACCTTTCTCAGCACCCTTGAGCTCCTCGGCTGGGGCAGAGCATGAGTGTAATCCTGACGCAATTTTTTTGCAGTCGAGGACAATGTTTCGTCTTCGGGAGACCCCGATAATACGTACGGAAAACGATCTCAGGAGCAAGTTGAACGATTCGAGGAGGAATATTGGAAACGAGCGGAGAAAGTCGACCAGAGAAGCTGGCAAGAGATGGTTCACAAACACGACAGACGCGTTCCCACCTCGGGACTCCCGAAATCATTCTTCATCCTGCCGGGCGACAGGAGACTTGAAGGTGCGCAATAGTCTCCTTCAAGGAACTACCATCTTCTTGATTCCTTCTTTGGTGGCTTCAGTATCGGATGCGATTTCGGTTTTTCTTTCCGCAGAAGGTTCCCGAGTGTTCCGCACCGATGAAGATCCGGCTCAGTTCGTTGAGTGCTGGAGGGAGCAGGCCGAAGAGTTGACGCAGCGCCTGCTTCAACGCAAACGCAACACCAGAGTCCAATATCAAATGGCACAAAGAGCGCTTGGCAAGTCCGAGCAGAAAGCCGGACAGAAGAGAAAATTCCGGAAGCAGGCCCGACAAGAAGCTGTTTGATTGCGTATGGAAACCAATCTCTACGGGAAGGCGTGTATGAGAGAATAAATTGTTTTCTAATTGTATGAGATTCTATAAGAACCTAACAGGAGGAGCGCTCGAAGCGTTCAAGTGGAACCGATTGTATTTTTTGAAGCTGACCTGGCTGAGGGTAGCGTCGGTGATGCAACGAAGAACGACGTCGACAGCTTTACGTGACGACTGTCTTCTTTATTACACTCAAAGTCGATCTACAGGTTCATTTTATTTGGTGGGCATTGTCCGGTCGAGAATTTCCCAGAAATGAAGCAGATTAGCTCTGTCGAGATGTCGCTTGTATTTGGATAGCTGGATGACTGTGACGGACCACTTCTCGACGTTGGAGTCCAGAGATTCTTCGTCCCATTTCATATGGAAGGCGCGAACTGAAACAACACAGAGAATACCGAATGATCAATCGCACGCGGGTGAGCTTCGTGAACTTTATCGAACCGGCTGGGGAACATTCGAGAACATTGATGGTGAGAGGAAGAGACTTACTGCGCGCAAAAATGTCCACGGGATTCCCTCCCCAAGGCCAATTTTTGAACTGCCACGTTGGTCCTTGAACGAAAACTGCAGCCACGCGGTCCCAGTCTTCAGGTCGTAAGTGTCTAGGATCGTCTATAATTTTGTAAGGCTGGCTTAAATTTGTTCCCTGACGACGATGTTGAATTATGACGGCCTGTTCCCGACGAGCTCCTTGTTTCTTTTTCTCGTCCGAGCTGACAAATCTGTGGAAGAGGGACCCAGTGAATCCTGATCATGCTTCCCGGAGAAATGCCAGGGTCGAATCAGAGGTTGTCCTTCAGAAGATGAGCAGACTCACTTGAGATCTTCTAGGATATCCTTTGCGTTCAGCATTGTGATCAAGGATGTTGTGGCGGGTGGAATAATTATGATGGGAGTCCTAGAGACTCTTTTCTGTTGGTTAGGCGAATTTATCTGCGGGGATTGCATAACACGGTTCCCATTCGCGCTCCGCGGCGCAGGCGACGGGGGTGGCATTGAGGGTCTCTGGGGTTTGCTACCCTCGGTCACCGATTTGAGCGTCATGCCATGGTATGAACCCATGGTGTCGATTTTGAAGCCCTCAGTTTCTGGAAAATCACCAGAGCATCAACCACCCGGAACGTGCCGACCGCTCCTCCGGATATCGAATATCGTAGCGACGGATCGTGACATTCAGCATCTGGAATCCGCTCGATGCGGAAATCCTCACCTTGTCGCTTCTCGAAACGTTCCTGGTCGTAACGACTGTAGGTGGTTGGTTGAGGCGGTATCTGTCTGACAGCTTGAGGGGTTTGTGTCACCAGGGGTTTCTTGATGTTCATGCTGCCTTGTTCGCGGGCATGTATCGAGTGGAGGATCGGGAACACGCTCTTCGCGAAGTTCTTCCCGTTCGCCTGCAGGATCGTCGTACGATTCCTCCAGACTCGTTCTCTCGACAAAATCACCGTTGTCTGCTCTTTTTCTGAGTCGAGCATGTGCTGCATGTCTGAGGGCAATGGGTCCAGGTCATCGTCGCCCTGGAATCGTTAAGCATCGCTCATGATCGGTTCCCAGATGGAGAATAATATGCATAAATAGATTTCACAGACATGTTCCTCCAGGAGATTTTTAGGGACGCGCCGGGCGCACGGGCTCCCCGACGTACGATCTTGATGGTGTTTTTCTTCTTCGCGGATCGCTTGGCCTTAATGGCAGCGATTTTTTCGGCAGAGAGTTTGTCACTGAGGGACGAGATGTTCTCTGTGGTGATGGCGTCCTCTTTCGGAGCATCGAGCCTCGCTTGGAACTGTTCTTTCGCTTTCCGCACCTCAGCTTCTTCGATTCGAGGCTTCTTTGCGGCATCCTGACCTCTGTGAAAGGAGCAGGGAGCTATGAGTTGCGCTCCGGATCGGAAGAGCTCATTGAAATCATCACAGCTGAAGATCTTCAGTGACTCACCTGATATCGGTGGCGGTCCGTTTCAGGGTAATGGGAACAACAGGTGGAGCCGACTTGTCGATCGAATTCGAATGGCTCGTTTCACCATTCAAATATGACAGAATATCTTTCCTGTCGGGACGACGGACCACTTGAACATTTTTCCCCTGCAACGAAGGGAGAGAAGTTCCGATCGGCCGAAAAGGAATCGAACGATGCTGCCAGCTATCGAAGTTCGTCGCTGCTCGAGCGTCGTCGGCTGAGAAGAGCTCATCGCTCGACTTACCGCTGTCTTCCGAACGTACTCTCCGTGGGTAAGGTTCACATGTTTCAGGAGATGGAGCAGTGTGACGAGCGAGTAGTACTGCTTCTCATTACCGTCCTTCCCCGTTCTGTGGGACATTACTCAGGTCAGAACCGCAGAAGACCAGAGATCATTACTATAGAGAGTGGTATACTCCATGGCTGATTCAGAGCAGTTGGGGGAACGACGAGATCGATCCCGATACGGCCATAGCATGAAACTCACCCGTATTCGATGTAGTTTGTTTTGACGTTCTTCGGAAACGCATACTCCCCGAACACGATCCTATCCTCCTCCTCGATGATCTGTTTCTTGCTGACATTGTGTTGCCGGAGCAAACTCAGCGGGTCTGCCATCGCTGTTTATGGAGTCCCTGGTCGCAGAGCGAAGAAAACACGGCTTATTGTCGGTGAAAAGGGTCTACGCGGGTCGCGGCCAAATGGTGTACCATTCGATCGCGAAGCAGCATGGCGGACGATCAGTTTGTCGGCTAAAGCGGCGGAGCGACCGCATCGCCAAGCAAGATGGCGACTGCCGGCTTGCGCGCACACAGCCGGCGGGCCGACGGAGGCTATGCGGCTAGGATGATTTTCGGACTTGATTCCAGCACTTTTCCATGCTTTGTAGGCGGAATTCCGATAATATTCGGACTCAATTCTCGTAAGCTGCTATGCTCTGTGGAGCTGGATGGGAGTCCGATGATTTTCGGGCTCGATCGCTGTGAGCCTGCATGCTTTCTCTGTGGATGTGGAATGAAGTCTGATACTTCTTATTTCCGGACTCGATGGGCCTCCATCACCACGGACTCGACCTCACAGGGAAATTCGATCCCGAAGATCTCCGACTCTGAAATCATCGGATTTCCGTCCGCATAGCCTCACGACTTTTATTTGAAATCTCGAAATCTGTTCGTGATCAGGCCGTGCCCGATTAGTGGCTGGAATAAATCGGAATCCCTTTTATTTATCTGCATTTTCGGAGATTTAGGAACTCTTTACATTGAGGTGGTCAATCATCAATCATGGTGAATACCCCGTTATGACGAATTAAGTATTAGTGCGAGCCTCGAAATCCGAAGCTAATCCCGCGAGAAGACGCGAAGTCAATGGGGTATCCCACGCGCTCCGCAGGTAATCATCTCGCAGTTCTCATCGTCCTGAGATGATATAGAAATCACGAAGTCCTAATCAGAGATCGCGGCCTGGAAATGTCGGGCTTACCTTGTTCCTCCTGATGGAAGCCGTTTCCCAGCTTGAGCCGAAAACGGAACCGGACTCGGGAAAAAACTTTTGTTGCCATCAGATCATTGGACGTCATAATTTATTGATTCCTCTCCGAACGAAACTTTCGCATAGGACTGTAAGGGAATGCATCTTCAAGGTTTACCTCCGGAAATGACGGCGATCTGTCAGGAGCTTTCCATCGAAAGAGAGCTAGCGTTCGACAGCAGCGCATATTTTAGAGTTTAGGCCCTTTCGCCCACTCAGGTCCGACAAGCGATGGTAATCAGGTTTGGTCCGGAAAATCTCGCGCATCCCGCATGAAAATTCCCCTCCGAGCTCACGCTGGATCGAGTCTACAGTCTTCATCTGTCTCCGCAGATAGATTGAATGGGATTCCAGTTCTGTGAGGCTGTGAGGGCAGCGGGATTTACTGCGAAGCGATTATTAGACGGTTCTACTTTTTTGTTCTTCAAAACGGCGCTCAAAGGACCATATGGGCAATGCGAGAAGGGCTTCTCTCACCTTCCCATCCCTAGAAAATTTTTGGGAATGGACATTTCCATCCTTGGAGACCGCCTATTCTGGAAACCACTCTCTCCAACTGTCCCGCACATCGAAAGAGAAGCGTTAGCGCTGATTTCCGCATGCGACAAGTTACATATGTATCATACACTTAAGAACGACGTTTTCATTTGCTTGCGGGTCATCGACCGCTGCAGGCGATTTTTGGAAGCGAAGAAGGCATGCCTGTCTAGTCGGCGAACAGACTTCGTAGGTGGGCGACCATGCTCATAGGCTACGATTTCTCGATGGAGGACCTGCAGACAACCGGGCTGGAACAGGCTGATGGACTCTCGAAATCTATTATGTCGCTAATAGCACAGCGACGGATAGACAAGGTGGCTGAAGATGTTGTCATCGCGGCAATCGAGGCCGATGTCGCGGCGGTGCCCACGGATTGCTTCAAGGCAGTGCCGGTTACCCACAAGAAAACTCAACGGCTCTCTCGCGCAGACGATTTTCTCTAGAAAGCTACACGTTGAGCCGGCGACTGCGTCTACGAAGATAACCGTGGGGGCTTCGAGCAAGTTCTTCGCGCAAGTTGGGAAGCTTCGAACGCTCGTTACGGACAGGGGGTCTCGATCCACTCTCCGGGGACATCAGAGTCTTCTGCGAGACCCAGGGTGTACTCCACTTGAGTTCTGCTGTGGGCTACCCTTAGTCTAATGGCCGCGCTGAGGAATACGTAGACTTTTCCCACCAATTAAGGAACTTTCCAGGCACCTTGAAGGGAAGATGGGCGGCTGTAATCGCTCTGTCGCATGCTGGGAACCAGGGGTGGCCAACCTTTCTGGTCCCGCGGACTAATAAGGCCTTGGCGACGGGGCCCGCGGACCACCAAGCTGTGATCATTTGTTTTTGAATCGGAATACGAAAACGAACTCATTCAGAACGCCGCCTCGTATCCATTGAGCCTTATGCAGCAAGTGCGGCTGTCTCATCTCTGGCCGAGCGGGCAACGGAATTCTCGTTGCGGAGGTCATGGGCCGCGTTCAGATATCATCGACGTCTCTACCGGAAAGTGCTTGGGGTGCTCCGCGGACCACCGAAATCTTAGCGGCGGACATCAGGTGGTCCGGGGACCGCCAATTGGCTTGCCCTGTTGTGAACTCACAGAAGCGCTCTCCGGCGGAGCCCTCCCTGAACGGAGACATCCGAACAGAGTTAGGCCCTCCTCAACCCACCACGCACCGACCTCGGACCAAAACCAACCGGGCCAAAGACCTACTTGGTCAAAACCAACTGGGCCAATGGATAATAAATAATAATAGTCCCAATAAAGAGAGGCAACAGTAAATTAGGGCACGAGGGCCAACTGTACGTGAAGGCTCACGCCTCGAAGAGCGGTCTTGGCACTGCATGTATTAAACCGCGTCGATTAGCTGCAAGGCCAAAGCTTACACATTGATCTCTACGGGTGGAGTTTTCGGGACGGTGGACGTTCACTCAGATCCGCCAGATCCTTCGGGCGTCGAGGTCGCCAGGCAGACTACGGCGATCAAACGGCGTTGCGAAGAAACTAATGAAACCCCGTCTTCGTTGGTCAACACGAGTCTGTTGCCAGCAACGTCGGTCACTCTCGGACGTATGACCCAACCTCGTACGATTGCTCGGATGATCAACCGACATCGTTACGCCCGATCCGCTGCGCCAGCGAATCCTGACTTTCGCGGCTCGATCGAGATTCCCGACCAGTATCGCAACTATGAGAGCGAGCCGGGGGTTTTCGAGAGTTTCCTGGTGGCGGACAGCGGTGCAGGAGACCCTGATCGAATCCTCATATACGGTAGGGAATCCGTAAGCTCCTGGATTGGCCCCGTCGAGTTGTACGTCGACGGTACCTTCAGTCTCGCGCCGCCACAGTTCCCGCAGGTTCTTATCATTCCATTCCCAAATATTCCAGTGAGCTATATTGACATTTCTCGGCTCCTTTCTAAAAACACATGATTTAATCGTTCAGGTGTTCGTCGTCCTTGCTGAGCGGCTGGAGTGCGTTGCGTCTGTAGCTTACGCCTTGCTCCCGAAAGAAGCAGCCGAATCGTACACCCGGATGCTGAACCTGTTGACGGAGGCTTGGCCTGCCCTCAATCCCTCGAGCGTCGTCATGGACTTCGATGGAGCAATGATGAATGCGGTCGGGGAATGTTTCTCACCGGAAACCCCCATGCACGGATGTTTCTTCCATTTTGTCAAATCATCAAGCTCCGCGTCGCGAGCGAAGGTCTCTAAAGTCGCTACAACACGGACGATGACTTTGCGCTCAAGACTCGGATCGTAGCTGCCCTGCTTCCGTTCCGCCAACGGAATTAGATAACGCGGTCTCTGAGCTTTCGCCGGTCTTGCCCGTCGAATTGGTTGGAGTGCTGAATTATTTTGAGGACGTTTATAACGGACGCTTGAACAGGATCCGCCCAGACGGTCCTCTGCATCGGAGAGCACCTCAGTTTCCCGTCGAGATGTGGACGGTTTACCAAAGAACACTCGATGGGGGAGCGCGTACGAATAGCTACACCGAAGCGGCGCACTGACGACTCGACTCCCGTTAGAATTCGGGATACAGCATCCGACGATCTGGAAGTTTATCGACGGACTCTAGACCGTACAGAAAGGTCGCGATCTCCAAGTTGAATCATTCGTGGCTGGTTCCTTGGGTGCCACAAAAAGGAACAAATACATCATGTAGCCGACGAGCGAATCCTGGAAGTCGTTCATCGTGCCGGATTTCTTCTTCACTTAGAATACCTCCGAGGTATCGCACATAATTTCCTCATGGATGCATAGTCTCGGTACTATTCCGGAATAAATCCCGATCGCGAGGTTTGAGAAGAACCATAATTAGGAGTCAAAAAGAAAAGAGCGGTGAGAATGATGCTCAGAATAGTGCCTCACGTCTGGGGCAGAGCTGGTCTACGGCAGTGCATAACGACTCCCCGGAGAGTTCGTACAAGGGACAGCCTTCGAGATTCCATCAAATCGTTACCATGAGCTTCGCACCGAACTCGCCATGCTCATGCCTACACCACCGCGCTCGCAGCAGAGAACAGCGGGAGCGGCCAAGTCTTTCCCGAGCCCCCTGCGAGGCGCTCGGTATGTTCTCGTCCGATTAGACACTCGGAAGCCTTCTCTCTCGCGACAGTACGACGGACCTTCTCGGGTACTGTCAAGTGCTCCGAAGACCTTCTACTTCCAGAAACCTCATAGAACACCCAGAAGGCTCGGAACGGCACCGAGGGTTGCGTGTCGGTGGATCGCTTAGAGCGCACACACGAAGACGAGACCGAAAGCGACGCACTGGACGGATCTCCGCCACGAATCGTTCCGGAGCCTCTCACAACCAAAGTCTGTAGGGTTCCCGGGCGAAGACGTCAGGCACTTTACCGTCTTCGGGACTTCGTCAAATTTGTACACGCGGTACAACGAAGCCAATAAATCATTCAGTTATGTGGTCATACTCTCGTCAACAGGCCTCTCCTTGCAACACGTCGAGACGCTACAACTATCTCGGCATCGGGATGTCCAGCATCGGAAGGTCTCAGCATCGTGTATAGCCGCATCGAAGCGTCTCGGCATGGGATCGTCGGCTTCGGGTTGGTCGGGCTCGAACCATCATGGACCGGAATTTCCCTGTGAAGCTATGTGGACCGAAGTCCGATGATTCCCTACAAGGGGCTATAAGGG